GGGGGTTTGAGTGCCGAAAAGCCGGACATGTCCGGGAAAAAGAGGACCTATGGTAACCCTATTGTTAAGCCTCTAACAGGGAAGCATGGGCAATGCTGATTATAACAAGGGGAAACTGGGAGGGAAAAATAACTTCTATTTTAATTGTATGCTTTGAATGTTGTTCTGATTTTAGCCAAACTGTTCTAGTTAAATTGTCTCAACTAGTCTGATTCACCAACTTTTCTTTAAATGCAGTAATGGGGAAAGAGTCATTTCTGTTTTGCTATTGTCAGTTTTGTATTTTCTTGTAACAGGGTTGTCTTTAAATCTATACACTTAACGGAGTGGTTGGTTGATCAGTTAGCCGACTGGCTAGCAGTGATTTCAGCAGAGGAAGAGTCTGCATGGATTCCAACTGAAGATTCCTACAAGCAAATGGAGCAGGGGCAGGCAAACTTTTTGGCCTGAGGGCCGCACTGGGTTTTGTAAATTGTATGGAGGGCCGGTTAGGGGAGGGGGTTGTGGCCCATCCCTAGGGTTACCATATCTGAACTTTCAAAAAAGAGGACACTCCATTGGGGGGTAGCCCCGCCCCCTAGCCACTCCCTCCCACTTCCTGCCCCCTGACAGCCCCCCCAGAACCTCCGACCCATCTAACCCCCCCGCTCCCTGTCCCTGACTGTCCCAACCCCTCTTCACACCCCTGCCCCCCCCGAACTCCCAACCCATCCAACCCTCCCCCGCTCCCTGTCCCCTGACAGCCCCCCTTCTCCAACTCCCCGACCCCCTTACCGTGCTGCTCGGCTTAGATCGGGTGTCTGGCTCCGCACCCCAAGGAGCGCCCCGCCCTGCCCGAGCTCTGCCGACCGGCGTGCTGAGGCTGTGGAGGAGGGGGGAAGCGGGGGAGGGGCTCTGGCCGCCGTTGCAGCCCTGCTGCCACGTTCCCTCACAGGCGCACAGCCCCGCCCCCCTGCGCTGCCGAGCAGCATGCTAAGGCTGCAGGGGATGGGGGGAGCCGGGAAGGGCCTTTGGCTGCCGAGGCCCCAATGTGAGCGGCGCTCGGCCACCCTGTCAGCTGCTTTTCGGTCGATAAATAGCCGACCGGGGGGAAATCCTGGATATTTTTAGAAATCCCCGCCGGATGGCTATTTAAAGAGCGAAAAGCCGGACATGTCCAGGGAAATCCGGACGTATGGTAGCCCTACCGTCCCCCACCTCCTATCTGCCCCCCCCGGGACCCCTGCCCCATCCAACCCCTCCTCTCATTCCTGACTGCCCCCCGGGACCCCTGCCCCCATTCAACCCCCCGGTCCCTCCCCGACCCTTATCCACACCCCCGCCCCCTGACCACCACCCTGAACTCCTCTGCCCTCTATCCAACCCCCCCTGCTCTGTGCCCCCTTACCGCACTGCCTGGAGCACTGGTGCCTGGCAGTGCTACAGCCGCGCCGCCCGGCTAGTGCCGGGCTATGCTGCCGCTGCAGCCGCCACCACGCAGCTCAGAGCACCAGGTCAGGCCTGGCTCTGCAGCTGCGCTGCCCCAGGAGCTCACAGTCCTGCCACCCAGAGCATTGCACTGTCAGAGCGAGCCACCTGAGGCTGCGGGGGAGGGGGGACAGCAGGGGAGTGGCCGGGGGCTAGCCTCCTGGGCCAGGACCTCAGGCGCTGGGCAGGACGGTCCCGCGGGCCGGATGTGGCCCACGGGTCATAGTTTGCCCACCTCTGAATTGAAGGGAAGATGTTGTTTTAGACTCCGCAGATTGTATAGATTTGGTGATCAAAGCCTCTAACTGAGATTTAGAGTGAACTAAATTTTGGGGGACTTTCAGTTTCTTATCACTGTATTTCTGTGGGGATTGAACTGTTAAGATTTTACTTTTTCTTTATTTGTGTTTATGTATAACTGTGAAGGTAATGTCTGTGGATTATAAAATAGCCATGTCATGCTGTAAAAATTAGATTATAAAATCTTATGATAAAGAAACAAATAATAAAGTTATTTCATTAAATTCATTTATTTAGTTCCTTTTGGGACTTGACTGTGGGGAGGTTGACCCTGTGCAATCCTTGCTGAAAATCCTTAGAAACTAAACTCAGGGTCTCCAGCTACTTTCTATGGGAGGAGTTGTTGTGAAAGAAGGGTTTGCATGACTGAACCCTTAATGTTCACCATTTGCAGCACACAGAGAATCACATACACCTCTACCTCGATATAACGCTGTCTTCGGGAGCCAAAAAATCTTACCGTGTTATAGGTGAAACCGCGTTATATTGAACTTGCTTTGATCCACCGGAGTGTGCAGCCCCACCCCCCCGGAGCACTGCTTTACCGCATTATATCCGAATTCGTGTTATATCGGGTCGCGTTATATCGAGGTAGCGGTGTAGTACTCTCTTTCGGCCAGACCCTTGTCTGGTGTTTACACCAGATGAGAATTTGGTCCTTTGTTTTCATATTAAATATTTTTAAATGTTGAGAATACTTAATTATATTCAGAAATCTCATAAATGGTCTGGCATCGAGTTGGCGTGATTAACAGTTTTTGCTCAGAAGTGACCAAACGGAAGGTAGCATGCAGAGTGGATCACTGTATTTCTCAGTCAGAGGAAAGGTGATTATTTTCTCTAAAAAGGATCAAATGATTAGACAATCTGTATAAAGCACTTGTACTTTGTAGTGTCATACACCCTTACCAAGTAAACAAATATACAGCTCTTCATACTTTGTGCACTTCCTTAAAGAGATTAATAATAGCTATTCTATTTGTTCGTAGTCTGTATGTAAATTCATTCATTTACAAAAGCAGATCAAGTGAGGCAACAGTGTACTTTATTATTTTTTGTTGAGTCCTTTAAAAGTAGGTATACTGTAGTCTTGTAAATTAGAAATGATGGGACTGTCTATACACTCTCTGGTCATAGTTCTTGCTATAAATGGATTCTGCAGATGTGTGCCCATAATAGCTGAGCTTTGAATGTGGATCTTCCAGTATCCACTGTTTTAAGGTGTTTGTCTGATGCTCCTAAACTGCTTTGCCATTGTTTGTTTTATAAAATATTTATAGTTGTTCAGTTTCCTTTCACTTGTATAGTGTGCAGTTTACACTAATAGAAAAACCAGCTGAATCCTCCAAATTAAATGGCCTCTTACAAAACCTCCCAATGTGTGAGAAGAATAGTTTCTGTGACTGCTGAGTGGCATTGAGTAGGTAGTGTTCCCTATATGATTTCCAGTTTGTAATTTTCCCCTTTGCCTTTACAGACTATGGCACTATTAAGAAAGTACTCGCTCCAATGAATCAGACTTCAAGCAGCTGCTTACTTGAAGAAATTGAGCTCTTTCCACGGAGGCAGAAAGAACCTATCAGGAGCCTGCAGATTCTGCATAGCCAGAGTGTTCTGTTTGTGGGGCTTCAGGAACACGTAGTAAAGATTCCCCTGAAGAGGTGTCTGTTTTACAAAACACACAGGTACAAAAGATCAGCTGGCTTTATCTGTTTGAAGAGAAGCACATAATGAAAGGGTTTCATGGAAGGAAAAGGGAGATTTGTAGGAATCAAAATTAACATATGTTTATAACTATGGATCTAAACCTCTTGTTTACATTGCTTAAAAGAGTACTGTTGGGGTACTTTTTGATATTAACTAATTTGTTATGATTAGAAGAAACTCCCAAGAGATAGTGATGTTTTAATATTAAGGTATGTGATTTGAACTGTATGAATTAATCAGTAAGAAATTACTTAAATTACAAATAAGTCACCAATATCATGTGGCATAGAAAATGGTATTTGACGATCTAGCAGAGGTAGCCACCCTGGGATGGAAGCCAAATGTATCTGAATACAGTAATTCATCACTTATGTTTCTTCACTGTCTGAAAAGGAGTGACGTCTCCCCTTTCCCCCCTAAAATATATTATAAAATTATGTTGCCAAAATGTAGTTTAGTAAATATGCTTCACGGTCACATGGTGGTTTGGTTAGCATTTGATTTTGTGTTTTTAATTCACAAAATTCAGGGACAACTTTAAGATAATGATAGGTCTTTTTCTTCCTTTTAAACTCCACTGTAATGCATCAAATTGAATGTCTCTGGGGATTCAGAAATAAAGTTTGAGAACAACAATGAGTTAAGGAAAACCTAGCTGGGGAAATCGTTGTTTAGGTACTTTGCTGTGTTGGAAAAATGTAATATGTTAACTACAACTGTGACAGTGACTGAATAGCTGAGTACTTCTCTTGTTACAAAAAAAGGAAATTAAATACTTAAAAATTGTCACGTAAATTCAGACAAAATCTTATAACAAAGAGATTCATTTTTCAATGTGCAACTCTTTCCATGTTTCACCCCATGGTGCTTCTCTCTTCTGGCACATGTGCTGTTGACAGAAATGCTTTGGCATGGGAACTAGACCATAGCTGGATGCAGTGGGTCAGATCTTCAGCTGATGTAAGACAGCATAGAGCCATTTACTTCAATAGAGCTATGCTGGTTTACATCAGCTGAGGATGGAGAAACAACTTCTTGATTTAGCCAGCTGAAGCTAGAATATTATTGTTATTGTAGTTGTTTTTATTTTGTATTCTACTATTGCTTGAATGAGGGATCCACATATCTGGAAAAGGAAAATGTCCATTAATATAGCCTCATGCTTCTTCTGTTCACTTGACTGCTGAACTATCATCACAGCATTCTCCCTCTGTTAAAGAGATTTGAAAATATATTCTTCAAGATCCCTGTTTATTTCAGACAGAGAGAGAAGTGTTGTTATGGAGTGACTGGTACCCTGACTTGTGTCAGAGGCCATGTGTATCCCCTGCTTTTATTCTCCATCACACCCACCCACATCCTCTTTAACTGTTATGTTTAAGCATTAGAACATAAGAACGGCCATACTGTGTCACACCAAAGGTCCATCTAGCCCAGTATCCTGTCCAACAGTGGCCAATGCCAGATGCCTCAGAGGGAATGAACAGAAAAGGTAATCATCAAGTGATCCATCCCCTGTCACCGATTCCCAGCTTCTGGCAAACAGAGGCTAAGGACACCATCCCTGCCCATCCTGGCTTATAGCCATTGATGGACCTATCCTCCATGAATTTATCTAGTTCTTTTTTGAACCCTGTTATAGTCTTGGCCTTCACAACATCTGCTGACAAGAAGTTCCACAGGTTGACTGTATATTGTGTGAAGAAATATTTCCTTTTGTTTATTTTAAATCTGCTGCCTATTAATTTCATTTGGTGATCCCTAGTTTTTGTGTTATGAGAAAGAGTAAATAACACTTCCTTATTTACTTTCTCCCCACCTGTCATGATTTTATAGACCTCTATCATATCCCCCCTTAGTAGTCTCTTTCCCAAGCTGAAAAGTCCCAGTCTTATTACTCTCTCCTCATATGGAAGTCGTTCCATACCCCTAATAATTCGTGTTGCCCTTTTCTGAACCTTTTCCAATTCCAATATATCTTTTTTTGAGTTGGGGCGACCACATCTGCATGCAGTATTCAAGATATGGGTGTACCATGGATTTATATAGAGGCAATATGATATTTTCTGTCTTATTATTTATCCCTTTCTTAATGATTCCCAACATTCTGTTAGCTTTATTGACTGCTGCTGCACATTGAGTGGATGTTTTCAGAGATCTATCCACAATGACTCCAAGATCTCTTTCTTGATTGGTAACAGCTAATTTAGACCCCATCATTTTATTGTGTGGATGGGATTATGTTTTCCAATGTGCATTACTTCGCATTTATCAACAGCAATTGATAAATGCGAAGTAAAATGTCATCTGCCATTTTGTTGCCCAGTCACCCAGTTTTGTGAGATCCCTCTTCACAGTCTGCTTTGGACTTAACCATCTTGAGTAGTTTTGTATCATCTGCAAATTTTGCCACCTCACTGTTTACCCCTTTTTCCAGATCATTTAGTGCCCAAGCAGTCTGCGTGCATGAAAATTGCAGTATCATTACTGTGCTATGAGCAGAGATTTACAGAGGTGTATGGATTAAATCACAAACCAAAACAGATGTCACAAATTTGGCTGCGGTACTGGACTCCATGACTTACAGCAAAATTCTTGGATTTGGTACCTCAAATACCATCACATTACCTTACTCTCCCTTTTCTCCTATTTTCTCTCTGCTACAGCTGTTCATTGCACATAGCTTCATATTGTACTCTTGTATTCAACAATATTCTTTTTTTCTTATAAAATAAACTACCTCGTTCTGTAGTAAATGTCCAAAACATTACAGTTTAGAATAGTTACTACTTACCATTATATAATATAATCAGTAATGTGCTTTAAGACATTAGTAGACACTATTCTTGTATTTTTATAAGGGCTTGTCTTCACTTGGAAATTCATCAAAATTGTGATTCTGCAATAATTATTCCAGAATAGTTATCTTGGTATAAAATCTCATGCGGACATTCTTATTCTAGAACAAGAGTGTCCAGGGGCTTATACTAAAATAACTAAATACATATTTTGATAAATTTTCAACTATAGACAAGCCCTAAGACTGGTAGGAAGACTAGATGTTGAGCACTGTTTTCCAATGTTATACTATACCATTGTAAGATAGCTGCTAGATATACTGAGGACAGTATTGACTTCAGTGGAGCTATGACAATTTATACTAGCTGAAGATCTGCTCTATTGAAGGTAAGAATGTTATTAGTCTTAGGTTGATTTTACAGAGAAAGGAATGAACTAAAACTATGGGGGGAGGGGTCTGAATTCACCTATATTTTGGATCCTGTCCCAAAGTTTCAAGGTCCTTTCCGAATGATTTGTTGTCCTACCTGATCCCAGCAGCTTCAGTCATGTACTCTTCTGCTCCTCTGCCCAGCTGCCAGTCTTCTCCTCAGACTCCCTTACTACCAGGCCCAAACTGTCAGGCAGAGGCAAACTGCAATTATCTTCTGCTCGGCCCAAAATATTCTATCATACCTCTTCCATATATCTAGATTGTTTGTGTATGAAATAGACATGTATGTATTCTGCTCTATACAAATGGCTGTGGTAAACAAAGAAGAATTCTGATAAACTGATAGAATTTTAAGGGCTGCTCAGAAGATATTTATTGCAAGAGCCTCTTGGGGACAGAAATATGTTTTTTCCCCTTAGCATGGCAAAATGTTACGTGAAACAGATGATCTCAACTACATATGTTTGGTTCAGAGTACTATGGTAGTGTATTATTTTAAACAAAAAGTGATTTGAAAAAGAAGAAAATAAAATATCCATGTGGTTTTCGTAAATTCAGATCTATGATGTGGTTAGCTTATTTGCTTTAAGTTGTACAAGAAAATGGGATTTTTTTTAAAGTGCCCCTAAATTGTAGAGCTTGAAATACAGCTAAAACATCTTTAGATCAGCCCATTTTCCATTAGATCCTTTCACTAATCATTTGATGTTTGGCAATTGTGTTTTCTAAAATAAAGTTTTGAGAATCATCTGAAATCAGAGGTTAAAAAGACTGTACGGAGGGAAAAAATCTGGAAGAATACTCTTTTTAACCTTGTTCCCAAAGTTTTAAAATGTTTTACATTCCATACACCAATGCTGATTTAAGCAACCCAGAAGGTGTAGAGTGAATGCTTCTCAGTTTCCCTTGCTTTGCAGAAAATGCCAGTTGTATTGTCGTCAAAATTATTTACAAAAGGTTTGAGCTTCTGTGGACTTCTTTTGGGAAAACTTATTTTCCGAAAGTCTTGCAGCAAAATAGTTTTGAGCATACAGCTGACAAAGCATGTCATGGTCTAAAATCTACTGTAGATCTAAATGGATGAGAATTATGGTAGTCTTGGTTCTAACTATGGCTGAGATTCTCAAAAGTGGTTGTAGATGCTCTAATTTTGGATGCCCAACTTGAAACATCCTAATAGCTCAAAGGGTTTCCAATGACACCCAAAATCACTCATCACTTTTGAAAATATTGGCCTATGATTTTCATAATTAAATGCCTTGCATTCAAAATAGTGATTCTAAATTAACTTGAAAATATTGTTGCAACAAATATTAAAATCACTGCTTGCTGAAGGATGATGAATGTTTTGTAGTATATCTGCTTTCATGTTAGCGTCTGCTAAAGATGTGCATGTCCACTGATCACATGTAGCCTGCTTTATGTCTTTGAAATGAAACTGTGACAAAGTTGTTGCATAAGGAAATGAAGCATTTCCTGAAGTAATTTAATTTGTATTTACAAAATAGAACTAGTTCAAATTAATTGCAGTATTCATTTATCCGGTGTCACAGAATTGTTTAAAACAAATGTAATTAAGTCCTGTGTCTCTTTGTCAAATTTCAGTTTTATGTAGTCTGGCTCTCTCAACAAGAAAACATCAAGCCTCCAGTCCACACTTGCTATCAATATTTCTCTCTGTGGATCTCTCCTTATCTGCTTATTTGTAGATCTATACAGGAGAACCTTCAGTCAAAATCTACATAT